CACTGGGTCTTTCCCTCCTGGTACCCAGTGGAGTCTCCGGCGTCCAGTCTACGGTCTCCGCCAGGCGCCACGTGAGTGGCACGACACACTGAGGACTACGCTCGCGGCACTTGGGTTTGCTCCTTCTACTGCCGACCCGTCGCTGTTTCTGCGCACCGACACTTCACTGCCGCCGTTCTACATCCTCGTGTACGTCGACGACTTGGTCTTTGCCACAGCTGACACAGCTGGACTCGCCTACGTGAAGTCCGAGCTGCAGAAGAGACACACGTGCACTGACCTGGGTGAACTGCGCAGCTACCTTGGCTTGCAGATCACCCGGGACAGAGCACGCCGCACCATTACCCTGACTCAGTCACACATGGTGCAGCAGGTCCTTCAGCGCTTCGGCTTCACGTACTCTTCGCCTCAGGCCACTCCTCTGCCTACTCGCCACTCGCTCTCAGCTCTGCCTTCAGATGAGTCCGTAGAGTCGAGTGGCCCGTTTGCAGAGCTTGTTGGCTGCCTCATGTACCTGATGACCTGCACAAGACCTGACCTCGCATACCCTCTTAGCATTCTTGCACGCTTTGTTGCTCCTGGGAGACACCGACCAGAGCACATGGCTGCAGCGAAGAGGGTGTTGCGCTACTTGTGCAGTACGTCGGGCATGGGGCTAGTGCTTGGAGGGCGCAGTCCAGTGGTCCTCACTGGGCACGCAGACGCTTCTTGGGCTGACGACCAGGCTACGCAGCGGTCGTCACAGGGTTACTCCTTCAGCCTTGGTTCCGGCTCTGTCTCGTGGCGGGCTACCCGCTCGTCTTCTGTTCTCGGCTCCAGTTGTGAGGCTGAGATCTACGCTGGGGCTATGGCTGCACAGGAGTTACGCTGGCTCACCTACCTGCTGACCGACCTTGGAGAGCAGCCTCGTTCTCCTCCAGTCCTGTACGTAGACAACAAGGCCATGCTGGCCTTGTGTCGAGAGCAGCGACTGGAGCACAGAACGAAGCACATTGCTCTCCGCTACTTTCTTGCTCGTGAGCTACAGCAGCGTGGACAGTTGCGACTTGCGTACGTGGCCTCTGAGGCCAACACTGCTGATGTCTTCACCAAGGCACTTGCGCCTTGTGATCATCAGCGTTGCTGCACGCAGTTGGGTCTTGTGCCTGTCTTGCCTCACTTGCTCTCCTCTTGACTTTGCTTGTACCTTCGCATATATATACCCTTGCTCTTGCTTACTTGACTCTTGTATACCTCTATATATGATCTTGCATGTGAACTGGCCTTCTGGCCTTTGAACTTGTGCTCGGAATGCGTGGTGACTTTGTGATCCACCCTGAGCTTTGCTTTGCTTTGCTTGACTGGTCTTGTGACCCCTTGTTCTCCCCCACTTTGCCTATGGGGGTGTGTCAGAACATATAGCTTACTTATTTGTGTAGGCTATAGTGGGGTATCCCATAGGGGGTACAACCCAATTAGGGTTTCCTATTTGTACTCTCTTCGTTCATACTCATTTCATTCTCGTTCAATTCTTCTCACCTCCCCGCACTCCCGGGTTTTTTTTTTTTTTTTTTTTTTTTTTTTTTTTTTTTTTTTTCTTTTTCTTTGCTTGCGCAGTCATTCGCTTTAATACCCTTGCAAGGTTTTTTTTTTTTTTTTTTTTTTTTTTTTTTTACATTGCCTTACAACGAGATCGGCGCATTTGCGTCACTTGGTCCCACGACCTTGTTCATCACGATGTCGTCGTGATAGTTCCTCTCTCTCTCTCTCTCTCTCTCTCTCTCTCTCTCTCTCTCTCTCTCTCTCTCTCTCTCTCTCTCTCTCTCTCTCTCTCTCTCTCTCTCTCTCTCTTTCTATTTCTCTCTCTCTTTTTTTCCCCTCTCGCTCTCTCTCTCTCTCTCCGTCTCCCTCTCTCTCTCTCTCTCTCTCTCTCTCGCTCTCTCTCTCTCTCACACTCTCTCTCGCTCTCTCTCTATCTCTCTCGCCCTCCCTCGTTCTCTCTCTTTCTCTCTCTCTCTCTCTCTCTCCCTCTCTCGCTCTCTCTCTCTCTCTCTCTCTATCTCGCTCTCCCTCCCTCTCCCTCGCTCTCTCTCTCTCTCTCTCACTCTCTCTCTCTCTCTCTCTCTCTCTCTCTCTCTCTCTCTCTCTCTCTCTCTCTCTCTCTCTCTCTCTCTCTCTCTCTCTCCTTCTTCTTTGTTTCTTCTCTCGGTCCTTGCTTTGTCTTGCACTCCTGGCCAATTCCTCCTCCGTGGCTACCTTCCTCAAGAGGGGGCTGATGTTTTATTTGTTGTGCCATTTGTCTTCTCGTTTCGTGTTGGCTCCCTTTCTCTCTCTCCATTGTTCGTTTTTTTTTTTTTTTTTTTTTTTTTTTTTTTTTTTTTTTTTTTTTTTTTTTTTTTTTTTTTTAATAACAACAATCTTTTACTAATCCACACAAAGGCATACAAGCCAAGCCTACACCATAACCAGCCCCTACGGCTGCCATCTTGCCCTGGCCCCCATGGCCTATCGTACTCCCCAAGGCTCCTAACCAGCCTACGCACCACCGGTGCATCCACCTACGCCCCCCGGCATAGTGGCAAGGGCCGCCGCCCCATGGGTCCTCTCACACCACGGCTGCGGGACCTTGTGCGCCACGCCCTCCCATAGGGCAATTATTTGCCATATGGCCGGGCTGGCCGCAACGGAAACACACCCCCTTGAAGCGGGGCTCGTGGCAGCCCGCGGGTGGCATGCCTTTGCTTTCCGGTTCACCGCCTCGAGGGGGAAAGCGGCCTCCGCGGGCGAAGCTGGTACGTGCACGCTTGAGGGCCGCCACGTCGGCTACCACGAGCTTGTAAGAGCGGGATGTGAGCACGCTCTTGGCTTGATACAGCTGGAACCGATCCGCCGCTTCGAAACCGGCCTCATCCGCCACCAAGAGCACCTCGAAGCGTTTGTTGATCAACGTGTCGATTTGCTCCACGTTGGAGAGCGCGCCCTCGACGTCGCCGTTTTGGAGCTTGAACTCGACGTGCCTCAGGTGAGCTTGAATTGCAGAGAACACCTCCGCCTGGTCACGCACTCCCTTGCGCATGAAGGTAGTAGCTGCGGGTGAAGGGTTGAGGGGGGGAAGGGGAGGTGCGGGTGCGAGAATGCGACGACGGGCAAGGTTGTCGGGGGCCTCACCGCCTTCATTTTCTGAGTCGTCGCTGTCGTCGGGGATACGGGCTTGGGTTGGTGCCGGAGCTGGGGCGGGAGCAGGAGCAGCGTTGTTGGTGCGAGCGATTTTGGTGGAGCGGGGAGCCGCGACAGGTTCCTTCTGCTTTTCGATTTTAGCTGACGCAGAAATCTCTTCAGCTGATGTAGCTGCAGTCGACGGTGCGTGCTGCTGCAATAACGAGAGCAGCGCCTGCAGTTGCTGCGCGGTCAAAGGGGTGGGGGTGGCGTTGACCGGGGTGACGTCAGCGGAGGGTGCCGCGCGCTGGCGTTTCTGGGTCGTGGGCCCGGATGGACCCGCGTCAGCGCCGGTCAAGACGACCGCCGCGTCAGCGGCGGTCGTCGTCTTCTGCGCAGCACGCGCGTGCCTGCCAGGCACGCGCGTGCCTGCCAGGCACGCGCTCTTCAGCAGCAGCCACGCGCGACTGTACAGCAGTCGCGCGTTCCTCAGGGGGGGTCCGAAGGGTGCCTCCGAGCAGGAGGTCGACCGCCGAGGGTCCCTCGCTCGAAATTTCCTCGGCGGGACGTTTTCCGCCGCGACGATCCGTTGTCACGGCCGGAGTCGAGGTTTCCGCCGCGTTACCGGGACTAGAATTATTCGAATTGTCGCGGTTAAGTGCCGGGTTGACCGGAGCCATCGTTGGGAGGTTGCGCTTAAGGATGTCGTTAAGGAGCGTTGACGGGGCAGTGAAACGCGGAAGCGACTGAGTCTTCGCTAGTGTGGACAAGAACGAAATTAGAACTACAATTTTGAAAATGAAAACGTGGGTGGGGACGAATGTCCCCACGTCCCTCTTTTGTAGGCAAAAGAGGGTGAGTAGCGCTTCGGCGCTACCTTTGCTGTGTTGGCCACGTACCCCTTTTCACAATACAAAATTTTAGAAAGTGTTACATTTCATTACACTTTCAAAAATTATCATTTTGTCACAATTTTCATCAGGTATGATTTGAAACTCTTTATGCATCTTTCGCATTTGGCCCAAATAGCGGTGTCTATCCCTTTTCCGTTATAATTTGGCTACCGGTAATTCCGTTATTGTTGTCCTTTGTGAGCCCCTGAACAACAACATAGAAGTCAGAAAAACGGAGTCTGTGGAAAAGAATAACCTATGAATAAAATAATCGCAAACACTGTATCTTTGTGGAAACCCGGCCCCCACCTGGTTTCTTTAGCGCGCTACCCGGCGCCACGGTTGAGCGGCACTTCTCTGCATCACAAGTGCGAGTTCAACAACCACCCTTCACCGTAACTCGGCACTTGTTCAATCACCACTCTTCACCGTGATTAAAGTTACTGGAACAGATAAGACCGTGCACAACCAGACTTTGGCGGGCCCACCTCTGCTCAACCACACACTCATCAGGATCACACCTTCCTCCAATAAGTCAAGTTCGCGACCCTGATTAGCTTGCTATTCGTCTTAGATAAAGGACCTAAACTCGTCCTTCATGGAGCTCGTTCTCAGTTCCTTAGGCCTCAGAATCTTAGACCGCGAGTTAAGCCCTGATATTTCTCCGCTAGGCCGTCGAAAGCGCGGTGTGGGATGGCGAATTCAATGTCGTCTGGAAAGGTGGTTCGGCTGGCCGTCACTGACTTCCTTTTCACGTACGGAACGGACGATAAAATATGTCTTTGGGAAGACACGAAAAAATGTGATGGTAGATGCTAGCAGCTCTGAATTGATCAATTAGGCGACATGTTATTACTCGCTTCGTCTAGTTGAAACAGGGCAGATTTTAATTTGTTATCCGGATTTCCCTGGCATCATCCACTGGTTTTTGTTTTTCGTTCTAACCCTCGCCACTTCTGCGGAATTCCCCTAATGATCAGAATCGTTTATGCGATAGGGGTATCGTGTACGGAAGCCACGGTGGCAGTCCTCGCTCCATACGTCGCCGCGGACGATAAAACCTCAGTCGCTCTCCTCTTGGTAGGCAACTGTAACAGTTTAACAATCTATGCAACAATGTAGCAATGTATCGACATGTTAACTCGCGCATAAGGACCGGTCTCTTAAAATGTCACAAATCTGGTGGATCCAACGCTTTACTGTGTAACGCTCTTGGAAGTCGAGCTCTCTCTCTCTCTCTCTCTCTCTCTCTCTCTCTCTCTCTCTCTCTCTCTCTCTCTCTCTCTCTCTCTCTCTCTCTCTCTCTCTCTCTCTCTCTCTCTCTCTCCCTCCCTCCTCCTACTCCCACTCGTGTGCACCAGGCGACCGCCATTGTCAGATTACGGGGTTCTTTTGAGTGAACTCAGAGGGTGACATCTGACTTTTGAGTCGACTCAGAAGCCACCTTGTGTGCCTCTCCCTCATGCCTATCCCGAGTGCCTCTCCCTCATGCCTATCCCGAGTGCCTCTCCCTCATGCCTATCCCGAGTGCCTCTCCCTCATGCCTCTCCCTCATGCCTATCCCGAGTGCCTCTCCCTCATGCCTCTCCCTCATGCCTATCCCGAGTGCCTCTCCCTCATGCCTCTCCCTCATGCCTATCCCGAGTGCCTCTCCCTCATGCCTATCCCTCATGCCTATCCCTCATGCCTCTCCCTCATGCCTCTCCCTCATGCCTCTCCCTCATGCCTCTCCCTCATGCCTCTCCCTCATGCCTATCCCTCATGCCTATCCCTCATGCCTCTCCCTCATGCCTCTCCCTCATGCCTCTCCCTCATGCCTCTCCCTCATGCCTCTCCCTCATGCCACTCCCTCATGCCTATCCCGAGTGCCTCTCACTCGCGCCTCTCTCTCCGGCCTCTCCCTCCGTGTGCACCAGGCGATCACCATCGTTCAAGTCGCGGGGTTCGGGGGAGCGGCAGACGCGCTGGGGGGGGCGTCGTATAACCCGCTCACCAACCTCATCAACTACCTCGCTGACGAGGACGACGAGACGGCGCTCGGCTTGCTACTGCGCCTCCCCGCTCAGGTACTGGCAGCACACAGATGACTGGCAGCACACAGATGACTGGCAGCCTTTTTCTAATACGTCTTAAGAATTTCCCATGCCTCCCCGCCTTCCAACCCTCTGCGCCCTGCCCCCTGCCCTCTGCCCCCTGCCCCCTGCCCCGCTCAGATGCTGGCAGGGACCACAGGGCTGGCAGGGGACAGGGGAGGGCTGGCAGGGATGTGGGTATCCGTTGAGTGGGCTCTCAGAGTGTCTGGATCACGGCACTTTCTTTGAAGTGTTTTTCTAGAGTTGTTAAGAAACGCCTACAACAAGCTGGCAAGCATGGGTTGAGTGCGCTCTCATAGTGTCTGGACTGGATCACGACACATACCTCCCATCCTAGCACCGCACCACATGAAGCTTCTTTCTCGAGCCCATCCATCCCTCAAGGTTCATCCGAACCCCTCTCCTGTCCCCTTGCCTCCCCCTCTCACTTCCCCCCCCTCCCACAAATCCATGTCACCAGGCAGGTGGCATCGTCATAGGCACCATGCTGACTTGGGATTTTGTCCCAGAGTGTCCATCCAACTCCCTTCCTGCCCATCCCAACCCCCTTGTCCCCCTTCCTTCCACCCCCCTTCCTTCTATCCCCTCCACTCCCTCTCCCATCCACGTCATCAGGCAGGTGGCATGGTGATAGGTGCCATGCTGACGTGGAAGTTCATTCCGGAGTCTCTCAAGCACACAGTCAACGGGCCCGCGCTGCCACCTGGCGTCTCGGTATTGGCCGGCGCGACAGCGGAGTTTACGCTCACGTTTCTGCTGTTCCTGGTGGTGATGTGGACGCTGTTCCTGGGCCCCAGCAGCGACCGCTTAAAGGAAGTCATCATGGTCTCAGCCACAATAGTCGTCATTGCTGCTGGCATGGGCTTCTCTGGCCCTTCCCTGAACCCCCTCTTTGTAAGCACCCTCCCTCTCTCCTGGCTCACTCTAGAACTGCACCAGCTGGTTCAAGAAATGCCAGGGCAGCACTTCCTGGTTGACCCATCCTGCCTAAATTTCATCCTTCCTTCTTCCTCATTTCCTTATTCCTTACCACTCCCCGCCTCGTTACTCCTCCCCACTCCCCTCCTCCAGTCGATTGGGTGGGTGCCAATGTTGGATCAGGATATGTCAGCCAGGCACTCGATGTTCTACCGGGCTGCTCTGTCCCGCACGTATCTTCCCCCACTGCTCGTCTCCTTCCCTATTCCTCCCTTCTCCCCTCCTGCAGGCGTTCAGATAGGTGTACACACTGGATCAAGAGATGACAGGGCAACACTTCGTAGCCTACTGGGCTGTTCCCACCTTCATCTCATCCATTCTTCCCCATTTCATGATTTCTTGTCACTCTCCACCTCTTTTCTCCCCCCCACCCCTCCAGCCGGCGTTTGGATTTGTGTATACGCTGGATCGAGAGATGTCACTACAGCATTTGATAGCCTACCGGGCTGCTCCAACAATCATCATCTCATCCTTCCTTGTCATATCGGGGTTTTTGTCTCTCCTCACCTCCCCACTCGCCACTGGCTCCCCTCTGTCAGGCATTTGGGCTGATGATACACATTGTACCGCGCTCCCCTCTGTCAAGTTGTCGGTGCGAGATGCTATTCATAGTCTACTGGGCTGCTCAAACAATCATCATATCTTTCTTTGTTTTTTTTTTTTTTTGGCGCATCATATGTTTTTTTCTACCCCTCATCACTTCACTCCCCAACTCCCCTCCGGCAGGCGTTTCGGTGGGTTTACACGTTGGACCAGGAGATGTCAGTGCAGCACTTTTCATTCTTCTGGGCTGCTCCCACCTTTGTCTCATCCTTCCTTCTTCATTTCATGCTTCCTCGTCTCTCACCTTCTCCAGGCATTTGGATGGGTGTACACGTTGGACCAAGACATGTCGGTGCAGCACTTCATAACCGACTGGGCTGCTCCAACAGTTGTGGTCTCTTTCCGCATTAGTTCTTTTTTTGCTACTCCCCACTCCCTTCCTCCAGGCGTTCGGGTGGGTGTACACATTGGATCAGGAGATGTCGGTGCAGCACTTCATAGTCTACTGGGCTGCTCCCACCGCCGGTGCTGTGCTCGCAGCAGCCTTCTACCGAATCTACCTGAAACCACACAAGGCGGCTCTTGAGGCGAAACGGCGGAACGAGAGAGAAGGGAAGGAAGGGAAGGAAGGGAGGGAAGGGAAGGCTGGGGAGAGCGGGAAGGGGGAGGAGGAAGCAATGAGGGCCAGCAGAGAAACAAAGGGGGTTGCGGCGGAGAGAGAGGGTGAGGGGTTGCGAAAACGGGTGGGTGTGGGAGCACGTGAAGAGGAGGAAGAGGGTAGGGCTGAGGTGAATAATGGTGGTGGTGAAGGGAGAAACAAAGCAGAGTGATTCGAGAGTGAGCAAGGAGAGAGGGGGCTTGGGAAGTTAGGAGGAAAGTGGAGGAAGCTGGGCCTTGGCATTGTGTTGCTGGATGGCCAAAAGGGCCCTCTCTTGGTTTGGTGTACCCTATTTAGTGTAGTAGAAACGGTTTTTCCCATAACAACAATTTACATTTAACTCAACCAATGTTTGTAACAATAGTGGCACATTCAAACCTGCGATTGGCCTGGCATCATGCCGCAACTATCGGCCGCGAATGTTGCGAACTCGCAGCATGCAGTGGGGGACTGTGGTGTAATTCGCTTCACACTAACCTGCGAAGCACACAGAGCGAGCAACTCTCACATTTGACTCGACCTGGAGCGAAAATACATGTCATCCCGCCAGATTGAATCTTCCTGAGTGCATTTGTCCTCCCCTCTTCTCTCGTAAGAGCCCACCTACCCCCACTTCCTAACACAGCGTAGCGTAAACCTCGCCCGCTGTTCCACAGGAACGCGCGTGTTGGATTTAGGCAGCCGCTAACTGGGAGAGTCCCACCTGGCAACGGTTTTCACGCCGGAACATGCGCAATAGTATCGCGTTGAACGCGCAATGTGTGAGCGTCTCCCTCCGCCTGGCAAAGACCGTCTTAGTGACGAAACTGCTCTCTCGTGGGAGCCCCAACCTCACAATGATTCCACTCCAAGAGGAGTCCTATATAACTCCCTCGTCATCTCGCCTACGCATCTATAGTAGTCATTTAACTTCTTTTCCAACTTCCCAGCCAACAACTCTCCCGTTCATCCGTTATTCTCCTCTTGCGCTTACAATTCTCACGAGTCGGGATCAACGCCGTTGCCTCTTATGGCTCGGACAAAGCAAGGTGCAGCCACCATGGCGGCGTTGCCGATGCTTCTGTGCGTGCTGCTTGTGACGTCGGCATGGAATGTTGCAGCAGGTAAGCTTCGCATCTATTCCGTCATCGTGCAATTCCGTATTTTGAGAATTCTCAAAAATCCGTTCAGTTTACGTGTATCATGCTGCATTCGGGTAACTCTGGTACTACTACTAGTACATCCGAACCTATCATCCCTTCCATTGTTCTCTGCACAGCAGGATCCAAGGGAAGTGTTCTAGGGGCCACGACGACCAGGGTCAGCAGCACGTCCCCTACCTTCCTGAAACTGACAGCCACGACGACCAAATCGGCGAATCAGTTGCTCCAGCCCGTGAAACTGACAACCACGACCAGGACCAGCAGCACGTCCCCTACCTCTTTGAAATTGGAGAAAATTTTGACCACCTCCCCCACCGCCGTGACACTGACAACCACTACCAGGACCTCTAGCCCCTCCCCTACCTCTTTGAAGCTGGAGAAAACATTGACCACCTCCCCTACCGTCGTGAAACTGACAACCACTACCAGGACCAGCAGCACGTCCCCTACCTCCCTGAAAATGGCAGCGCTCATTGGCACTAACAAGACACTCACCTGTCAAACTATATAGGTGTTAGTTCAGTGTAGGCTATAGTGGGGTAGCCCATATGAGGTACAACCCTAAGTTAGGGTTAGTACTTGTACCCACATTTCATTCAATGCAACATCCTTGCTTGCTATCTTGACATGGTATCAGAACAGTAGGTCCGAAGGACCGTTTTTTTTTTTTTTTTTTTTTCGGGCCCACCATATTTAGCTTCCGACTGCGGTTATCACGTTACCCCACTACCCTGCGTCGCGCTGCCCCGCGCACGCCCTGCCTTGCCCCGCGTCGCGCTGCCTAGCTCATGCCCTGCCCTGCCCTGCCTGGCGTCACCTTGCGCCAGCGCCTTGCCCTGCGCCAGCGCCTTGCCCTGCGCCAGCGCCAGCACCCTGCCCTGCGCCAGCGCCCTGCCCTGCGCCGGTGCCCTGCCCTGCGCTAGCGCCCTGCCCTGCGCCAGCACCCTGCCCTGCGCCGGCGCCCTGCCCTGCGCCAGCGCCCTGGCCTGCGCCAGCGCCCTGCCCTGCGCCGGCGCCCTGCCTTGCGCCAGCGCCCTGCCCTGCGCCGGCGCCCGGCCCTACGCCAGCGCCCTGCCCTGCGCCAGCGCCCAGCCCTGTGCCAGCGCTCTGCCCTGCGCCAGCGCCCTGCCCTGCGCCAGCGCCCTGCCCTGCGCCAGCGCCCTGCCCTACGCCAGCGCCCTGCCCTGCGCCAGCGCCCAGCCCTGCGCCAGCGCCCTGCTAAACCCTAAATAAAATGAAATAATTATTAAAATAAAAAAGGCCCTAGGTGCTTCTGCCCTAGGAGCTATTCCCTACTGCTGCCCTGCTGTGGCCGCACGCCACCCTGCTCTCGCCGCGCGCCGCCTTGCTGCTCTTACTACTACTGCTGCTACTCGTGCTACTGCCTTCACTCCGTACTGCCCTACAGGTCGCGCTCCTCCTAGCTTGCCCGCCATGACTTCCCTTTGTTGTACCGGTGGGAGTGGTGACGGCGGTGGTGGCAGCAGTGGGAGTGGTGGCGGCCGTAGTAGCGGTCACAGTGGCGCTGTTTGGTGCGAAGTGTCTGGCGGTGGCCAGATGCAGCTATGGCGGCGTCCGACCCTTACGCCCCAGCAGCTTTGTGAGTGGCTTTACCAACGTGGGCCGTCTCCGAGTCCAAGTCGCTGCCAGTACGTCATTCGCGCAGGTCGTCGAGCTGGTGAGACCTGTGGGATACCTGGTCACACACAGTCCCGCTGCTTCGCCTATTTGACTGACGCCTGGCGCACAAAGTTTGGCGATGAGGCTGAGATCCCCCCCCTAGCTTGAGCTGCTTAGGTCGGGCGCTGCTGTCTTTGCTTGAGACTATGACGCCATCCTTACTGCCATGTCTGCTTTGCCTGGTGATGCTGAGCGTGACTGTCACCTGTGCGTGCAGTACGACCCCGGTATAGAGGTTGCTGCTCTAGGTGCTAGTGATGCTGCTGCCTTAGGTGCTAGTGAGTCTGCTCCCTCAGGTACTGCCCCTATTGAGGCCTTGCACACCTTCACGCTTGACTCAGATGCTTCTCGCTATTTCTTTCGTGCCACTACTGCACTCACACCACTCACTCCACCTGTTGCAGTCTCTCTGGCTGACCCCTCAGAAGGCCCAGTTCTTGCACGGTCCACCACTTTGCTTCCGTGCCCGGCGGTTCCGTCTGACTCACTGACACGCTTCCACCTCCCCTCATTCTCTACGAATTTGGTGAGCAACACAGTTCTCCAGGACTAGTGGGTTGACACCTTTACCCGTGGAAGACAGCGTGTGGCGATCTGTGTGCTCCCGGTGTTGGAATAACTGAACAGGAATGAATGAACTAGCAGTGAAAACAGTACAAGTACCTAACCCTAGAATTGTGTACCCCCTATAGGCTAACCCACTGTAGCCTAAACTAACACAACATATATAATGTTTGACACACCCCCATAGGCGAAATGGGGGAGAATTAGGGGTCACAAGACCATTCAAGGCAAAGCAAGGCAAAACAAGCTTAGGGTGGATCTCAAGGATACCACACAAATTCCGAGCACAAGCAAGTGGTCACAAGACCAGTTCACATGCAGGTTTATAATAGAGCAAAAGGTACAATGATCACAACCTAGCAAGAGTAAACATGCAGATATATATACAGAGATCACAGTACAAACAGACTCAAGAAGTAAGCAAGTGAGGTCCAGTAGGCACAAGGCCTAGAAGAGTGCAAAAGCGCTGATGGTCACAAGGCTGAAGCGCCTTGGTGAACACATCAGCAGTGTTGGCCTCAGAGGCCACGTAACGCAGACGAAGCTGACCACACTACTGCAGCTCTCGAGCAAGGAAGTAACGCAGAGCAATGTGCTTCGTTCTATGCTCCAGTCTGTGCTCCTCACACAAGGCAATGGCTGCCTTGTTGTCGACGTACAGCATTGGAGGAGAACGAGGCTGCTCTCCAAGGTCGGTCAGCAAGTAGGTGAGCCAGCGTAGCTCCTGGGCCGCCATGGCTGTGGCGTAGATCTCAGCCTCACAACTGGAGCTGAGAACAGAAGAAGAGCGAGTAGAACGCCAAGAAACAGAACCAGAGCCAAGACTGAAGGAGTAGCCCTGAGACGACCGCTGAGTAGCCTGGTCGTCTGCCCAAGAAGCGTCTGAGTGCCCAGTGAGAACAACTGGGACTCGCCCTCCAAGCACTAGCCCCATGCCCGACGTACTGCAAAAGTAGCGCAACACCCTCTTAGCTGCATCCATGTGATCCTTCCGGTGACGACCGGGAGCGACATAGCGTGCAAGAATGCTGAGAGGGTATGCAAGGTCTGGTCGAGTGCAGGTCATCAGGTACATGAGGCAACCCACAAGCTCTGGATACGGGCCACTCGGCTCTACGGACTCATCCGAAGGCAGAGCTAAGAGCGAGTGACCGGTAGGCAGAGGAGTGGGCTGAGGCGAGGAGTACGTGAAGCGGAAGCGCTGAAGGACCTGCTGCACCATGTGTGACTGAGTCAAGGTGATGGTGCGGCGTGCTCTGTCCAGGGTGATCCGCAAGCCAAGATAGCTTGTCAGTTCACCCAGGTCTGTGCACGTGTGTCTCTTCTGCAGCTCCGACTTCACGTGGGCGAGTGCCACAGTGTCAGCAGTAGCAAAGACCAAGTCGTCGACGTACACAAGGACGTAGAACGGCGGCAGTGAGGTGTCGGTGCATAGAAACAGCGACGGGTCAGCAGTAGAAGGCGCGAACCCAAGAGCCGCAAGCGTAGTCCTCAGTGTGTCGTGCCACTCATGAGGCGCCTGGCGGAGACCGTAGACTGGCCGTCGGAGGCTCCACTGGGTACCAGGAGGGAACGACCCACTGAAGCCGGGTGGACGGCGCAGCCAAATCTCCTCGTGCAGGCTGCCCTGCAGGAAAGCAGTGCTGAAGTCAAGCGAGTGGAGCTCGTAGTCACGCTGAGCGGCGACGTGCAGCAGAACCCGAAGAGTGGTCAACTTTGGGGTCGGGGAGAAGGTCTGGAAGAAGTCAACTCCCTCTCGCTGACTGAAGCCTCGTGCAACGTAACGCGCCTTGAAGACAGGCGGAGAGCCTGGCGGCCGCTTCACCCTGAAAATCCACATGCCACTGACGATGTTCGCCCCAGGTGGGGGAACCTCGTCGACGTAGGTGCCTTTGGACTTCCAGGAAGCCATCTCTGTGTCCATGGCTGACTGCCACTGAGAGGAGTAGGGACCGGCCATCGCCTCTGTGTAAGAGCGTGGGGTCGGGATGTCTGGTGCATCCGGGTCTCCCTCAGGGGCAACAAGCATGGACACGAGATGGGGCAAAGCGGCAGCAAAGCACTCAAACTCCTCCTGCCTGTCCTCAAGGACGTCAGTGCCAAGAGTACACTCACCCCCGACGGACGGAGGACAGACAGACTCAGACTCAACAACTAGGCTAGCAGCGTAGTCTAGACGACAGCGAGCAGCAAAGTCGACAAGCTCAGCAACTAAGGGAGAAGCAGCAGCAGACTCAAAGGAAGGGTCAGTGACAACAGTAGCCTGGAGACGCGTGACAGTAGGACTGACAGCACGAAGAGAGTCTGACCCACGGTCAGCAAGAGCAGGAAGAGAGGAAGCAGGAGGAGACGGCAGTAGGACACGCTAAGGAGCAGTGGACGGACGAAGTGCCATCCGCTGAGTGCCTGGGACAGCAGGAAGAAGCTGACGTTGGACATGACTACTAGAGAGAGCAGTGCGGACAGGCGACTCAGGACGAGACTCGGGCGACGCAGGACGAGACTCAGGCTCACGACGCTCAGTAAGACCTCCAGTCGGACCAGTGTAAGGAGCAGGACCAGGGAGAGAGGAGGCAGACTGTAACGGCGACTGCAGCTGGACAGACGGAGGACACGCTAAGGAGGGAGGAGGACACGGAGGAGGGAGCTGACCAAGAACCTGCTGAAGGAGCGGAACCAAGTACGGCCGTGACCGTGCAGCGACACCAGAGCCAGCAGGGACACCCGCACCAGGGTCCGCAGCACCAGCAGCAGCCCCAACACCTGGGTCCGCAGCACCAGCAGCAGCTCCAACGCTCGGGTCCTCAGCACCAGCAGCAGCTCTAACGCCTGGGTCCGCAGCACCAGCGGCAACTCCAACGCCCGGGTCCTCAGCACCACCAGCAGCTCCAACGTCCGAGTCCGCAGCACCAGCGGCAGCTCCAACGCCCGGGTCCACAGCACCAGCGGCAGCTCCAACGCCCGGGTCCTCAGCACCACCAGCAGCTCCAACACCCGGGTCCGCAGCACCAGCGGCAGCTCCAACGCCCGGGTCCTCAGCACCAGCAGCAACTCCAACGCCCGGGTCCGCAGCACCAGCGGCAGCTCCAACGCCCGGGTCCTCAGCA